AAATGTGGGCCACCCCCCAGTGTCTCGTGGCAAACATGAAGAACTGCGAAGATGCTCATCTAGACGCCTCTTAGCTCAACTGCTTGCCCCGCTTGCCCATTGCCACTGGGTTTTGTCACCTGATTCTAAGACAGTATGGCCACCTGGCAAAGTGCACCCCTGAGTTCCATCCCCATTCTGCAAAAAGAAAGGCTCTTTAGGTAAACATAACTAAAATGTCCTTAAAGCATTTTAGGGCAAGTAAAATTGAAAGCTCTGCCCACATGCTGGGTGAGGTGGCAGATGCCTGTAATCCCAGCCATTCAGGAGGCTGAGTCAGGAGGATCTCAAGTTCAAAACCAGCCTCAGCAAAAGCGAGGTGCTAAGCCACTCAGTGAGACCCTGTCTCTAAATAAAATACAGAATAGGGCTGGGAATGTGACTCAGTAGTTGAGTGCCCCTGAGTTCAATCTCCAGTACCAGAAAAAAAAAAGCTCTCTGCCCACAAGATATGACATGACTCACAAAATACTCCATGATAAATTATTTTTATAAATATAAAATTCAATTAGAAGTACCATTAGACAAATTAGTTTTAAAAAATACCTTTTAATTGCACATACTAAACTTAAGGAAAATAATTTTTAGGTGAATTTATTTGAAGTAAATTAGCTTTTAGTAAACTGGCTTTGGGGCTAGTTGGTCTTTTACTATTCTACATGTGGGGACATAGGAATAGAAACTGGAAACCATCATCATGACCTCGGGGTGGACATTGGTCCCGATGCTGAATGGAACTGATATTGACCCGGCCATCGCGTGCTGGCATGTTCCAGCCTCGGGCAGCATCCCGCTGCAAGCAATTTAGTAGCCCTCAGGGCCTCCCAGCTCCATGTACAAGGCAAGCCCCTGGGAAGCATTTTAAATCCAAATGCCTGGCCCAGAGATTCTGGTTCAGCCGGTCAGTCAGAAGGGAGGCCACCTCTTGTTTAGAGAGAGGGACAAGAGCAGGCTGCAGCCTGGCCCTTTACAAATGCAGTGCTTGACCCTCCCGTATAATCCCGGGGGAGGAGGGTGGCATGAGTGTGATTCTGACATATTGCCCCCCACACCGCCTCACTGAACGGGGCTGACAGTGACCAGCACAAAACAGAGAAGAATTCCATGGGGCTGCTGATCACCAGGGTCATGAGGGTTCCAGGGAGGAAAATCCACAGAAGTGGGTCTCGAGTTGGGCATCGGAGGGCAAGTGCACTTCTGATCCTCAGGCAGGAGCAGGGAAGTCGGAGCTCTGGGAAGTCGGAGCAGGTGCAGCAAGCACCGTGGAGAAGGGCTGATCATGGTGACAGGAGACCCAGCGTGGAGCCTGCCTGGCTGAGAAACCAGAGGGGGCCAGGAGGGCAGAATAGGAGACCCCTGTAGACCTAGACTGAGTTGCCCTTGGACTTGCAGCAGGGGCTGGACCATATGGGACCCCAGCATGGCCAGCAGGTGCATTGGAGAGGCGTCTGGGTGGAGATGCTTAGAGGCCTGGGACCTGTATCCACCCAAGAAAAGATGCCATCCCAGGCTGGCATGGTGGTCCAGGGGGGCAGAGAACACCGAAGGAATACCCAGGAGAGATAGGTCGATGCAGGGTGGACAGAAATTTGGAATGACAGAGGGTGTACAGCTGGTTCCAAATCTCACCTGCAGATCGGTTATGAAGAGTGACTTGGTGTTAAGATATTATGGAAATATAAAATAGGCATTGATTGCCCTGTTCACCTGAGCGTCGCAGGGACTCCTCAGCGAGGTGGTGTTGGGGAGAGACAGGGGCCGCCCAGCAAATTTGCAGAAAGCAGCCAGTTTCCACCTGATTTCAGTCTTTTTTCCTCATTTCTTCCCTTTTTACCAAATCCATTAAGCCAAAAGGAAAAATGATTCTAAGCGATTCTCCTTCATCCTCGGCCCTTATTTAATTTGTAGCCACGTGTAAGGAAACACCCAGAAAGGAGAGGCAGGGGCAAAGGAGAAGAGGGGCCTCCGCATGGCCAGCCCTCTCCTGGAGCGGTGGGAGTGGCCACCCCCCACCCCCCCGGGGCCACCTGGTGCCTGCTTCTTGCCCTGTTTTCATAGAACTCCTGGGACCCTGGTGGCCAATTTTCTAATGGTGATGCCAAGTCAGTTTTGCTGTGGAGAGAGTGACAAGAAATGCTGTGATGGGCTGGAGTGTATACAGGAAGCTGTCACTTGTCACAATGGTCAGAGCCCGGTGTCACTACTGGGTAGCAAATTCCACTCTGCCCTCCTGGCTGCACTTCTTCGTGACCAAGGGCATGAGCACCGACTGCCTTAGAGAACCAGAACCTGCAAATGAAGGCTGGTGACCGAGGGGCCTCTGGGTGAACACCTCACACTTGCAGAAAGATCGCACTTGCTGTGCTCGGGCTCAAGGTCCCAGGAGCCGCAGGAGAGCACCTGCCAGTAACAGGAACTGGCAGAGAGGTGCGATTGCTGTGTCTCAGTGCTTTGGAATCAACAGCACCTGTCATGTCCCTGCACATGTGTCGTTCACATGGGGACCACAGTGAACAGGATGGGCTTTGGGGGCAGGCGAGCAGGAAGCCTTGTGGTTATGACTGGTTTGCTTTGGGGTGTTAGGGGAGCAATCCCATCAGGTCCTCGGGAACTGTTAGGTTTCTTTGTATGTAGCCATAGGATCCGCCAGTGGGTACCCATCCGCTCACCGCTGCATGATCCTAAGTTCGTGGTCTACTTCATGCCCTAACTCCCTCCTGGACGGTCCGTCACAGGGAAAGTGTGGCTTCATCCAGCAGCAGGTCATAGTCTCGGGGCCATCTGTAAACTTGGTGTGGGTCTCTTACCTTGTAAGCTGGGTGCTGAACAAGATGGTGAGGCTCCTGTGATAAGTCACACACAGCCACGGAGGCGCAGGTGAGGAGACAGGTCTGTAAACCGGAAGTGCTACCTAGTGACCTCAGCACCTGTTTCTTCATCTGGAAAAGTGGGATAATAATGGTGTCCACCTCCCAGGCTGGTCGTGAGGATGAAGTGGGTTGGTGTATGAAAAGTATTCAGGACAGAATCTGGCACAGAGTGAACAGGGTACAGGTTGAACATCCCTAGTCTGAGAATCCAGAATTCAGGATGCTCCAAAATTCAGCATTCTGGTCCCTACAAGTGACGGTTTCTGGTGGTTCAAAGTGTGCACCACTTCAGTGTGCTAAGTTATTCAAAAAGTATTGTATAAAATCACCTTCAAGGTATGAGTGTAAGGAAACATAAATGAGTTTTGTGTTTACACTTGGGTCCCCAAGATACCTCATTATGGATAGGCAGATGCTCCAAAGTGGGGAAACTGCTGAACTCTGAAGCCCTCTGGTCCCAAGCATTTTGGATAAGGGACTTCATCTGTCTAAGTCTTGGCTGTAGTGGTGACTGTCACCATCATTACTGCTGTTACTGTCAACACTGGCACAGCACACGTCCCTGGTACAGATTGGAAAGTGACATGAAGGTCAGGGAAGGTCAAGAAGACAGGACAGAGGAGCCACTCCCACCAAACCAAGGACAGTGACATACTGAGGCCCCGGGACGGAAGCACCAGGCATTTCAAGGCACTCGGGAGTGGTCAGGAGTGAGGGTGCCTTCTTGGGGCGGGATCCCAGGGGGAGGAGGGCGCCCTTGAGCCCTCACCTCCAGTTTCTCTGTGGATGGGGGAGCAGGAGCTGAGGTGGCCAGAGAAGACCGCAGCAGCTGTCCTGAAGGACATGGCTGAGCACAAAGCCCAGAGCCCGCCTGTAGATTACCCTGGGGGTGGACGCTGAATTTGTAGGATATGAGTACAGTTCCAGGGACAGTCTGCTCAGGACTTTCCAGATACCATAGGAAGGCTTATTTCCAACTGGGGGACCCAGAGCAGAGTTCACAAAGACTGAGCCTGAAGAGAGGACCCCATAGCACCCAGCCCAGAGAAACCCTTGGAGGGTGTGGCGGGGAGTCTTAGTCCATGAACGTGGGCACAATTGTGCTCTAGGAATGGCATTGGGCAGGACTGTGGGGTCAGAGGCCACACCCAAGACAGACAGGCGGCTGAAGTCCAAGACCTCGGAGATCAAGAGGTGAACCTTGTGGTGTTCCCTGAGGGGATCGCAGGTGTGACGTCCAGGCAGCCTGCTCCCCCTGGCCACGCCCCCCAGGCCACGCCTTTCCTACAGAAGCCTGCAGCCCCCAGGGCTCAACCACAGCCCCCTCCAGGGTTTTCCAGGAATGTGGGGGTACAGAGGACTACAGGGTCTGCCCCAGAATGCCCTGGGGGATGGTCTGACCCCAAGACCCCCTAAATGTGGCGCATCTCTGGGGAGCTCTGGTGGCACTGTCACAGAATCAACGGTTGGGTTCTGCTCCGAACGCCAGCAATTTCTGAATGGCACATGGCTGGGTGACACTTCCTTAGATTCCAACGAGCACAAGCTTCACACACAAAATATTGCATGCAGTTACCTTCAGCCCAGAGCGTCAGGGCTACATGAAACATGCACCCAGGGTCCCACCATGGATGGCAGTGAGTGAGCCTGCCCCCAGGTGCCTGCCTAGGCTCTGCCACTACTCGCAGTGGGATGGTCCTCTCCAGGGGGCAGGTGAGGGAGTTACAGTTGGCAGGATTAAAGTCCCTTGGGAAGGGACAAGCAGTTAGTGGACTTGAGCCTCTTCCTGGCTTCTGTCCCTAAGGTGTCAGCTGGAGAGACGTGTTCTTTAATAATGGCAAATCTCCTAGAGGTTCTGGGACCGCCCCTGGGCTTCCATGAGCAGAAGAGACACCCCCAGCCCCTTCCCGCTGCCTTCCTGGGCTCCTTATGAGCAGCTGGTGCACTCTGGGCAGAAAACAAGCTGGAGGGTGCATCTGAGCAGCCTCAGTTGATGCTTCACAGCCGGAGGCCCCTCCTCGGTGTGTCCCAAGGTGAGTTTCTTCCCGTGTCCCCATCTCACGTCTCTCTCTCACCCTCCTTCTGCCGCAGATCCTGGCGCCCCTGTGAAATTGCCTTGTCTGCCAGTGAAACTGTCGCCTCCGCTACCTCCAAAGAAAGTCATGATCTGTATGCCCGTAGGGGGCCCGGAGCTCTCCCTGGCGACCTACGCAGCCCAGAAGAGCAGCCAGCAGGGCGTGGCCCAGCACCACCACACGGTCCTGCCGTCCCAGATCCAGCACCAGCTGCAGTATGGCAGCCACGGCCAGCACCTCCCCTCCTCCACCGGCACCCTCCCCATGCACCCCTCGGGCTGCAGGATGATAGACGAGCTGAACAAAACGCTGGCCATGACCATGCAGAGGCTGGAAAGGTAATGGGCGAGTGGGAGCGGGAGGAGGGAGGAGGGAGAGGGCCAGGGACAGGGGCTGGCTGGGACATGAACCAGGGCTATTCCCTGCTTCGAGTGGGGTGGGGGGGAAGGCTCGAAAGTAAAATCAGACCAAAAGCTGAATGTCCAAGAGAGTAGGGAAGAAGAAATTTATATGGTCAATCATCAAACTGTAACCACATTTACTGAAAAGACATAGTAACATGCATAGGAACATAGACACCCACGTTATGTTTCTCTAAACATGAACATGAACGTTTTGTCGAAGGAAGTACATGTCATTATGAAATGAGGTTACTCTGGGACGGAGAGATGGGGAGAAATGCTTGTATGTTTCATATCTTTTGGAACTGCTTACTTTTATTTTTGTGTATGTTACTTTTGTGATGTTCAAATGCAAATGTAAAGTAGGAAAAGATGAGGCCGGCTGGATGTCGGAGGGAGGCAGGGGGCGGGAAAGGTGGAGAGCGATACCCTTGTCCTTGCCCTTGTTCTTGCTCATGGGGGAACCAGAGTGTTAGAGTTGGTTTAGATGCAGTTGAGCCTCCAATATATGGCAGCCAGAACCTGGGAGACCTGCAGAAAAGACCCCCACGCAGGCCTGCAGCAGAGACTCCAAGTCCCCCAACTTAGGGAGACCCCTCATCTCTCACTTTGGCTGTGAATCGCTCTTGTGTGCGTGCACATTTGTGTGGGTGTGAACGTGCACGTGTGTCTGTTCAGATCCGTTCACCACCTTCCTGCCTTATGCCCAGGAAATGCCTGGGGTTTCTAACATGGTGTCAGGCACGTTGCTGGACCAAGGTGCCTGACATGACGAGGAAACTGTTTCCTTCTGTTGTGAGGGTGTGTCTGAAAGGGACACTGGATGCACGTCCCAGGGTGGTGACGGCTCTCCACTGGGTCCTCTGGAGGGGGACATTGGAAGGGTCAATGGATCTCCAAAGCAGGGAGCCAACAGCAGGATGCTCACACAGGTGGGGGCTCTCAGTGAGGTTTCCTGCCGCCCGGCCAAGAATTGTGTGTTTGGGAAATGATTGCCTCAGAGGGAAGCTGTGGTCTCGAGGAATTCGGACTTGATGACTTTGTGTTCCTACCGGCCCTTCCTGCCAAAAAGGAAAAGCAAAATTTAGTTTGGCACCTTGCCATCATTCTCAAGCATTTTAATCATTAATGAGAACAGCAGTAACTTAACATGGGGGGCGGCACCTTTTAACCTACCACACACACACACACACTGAAATCGTCATTCCCCGTGGCCACCTGCTCAAAGAATGATCCACAAACGGCCTGGTCCCCATCTGCCACCACCTGAGCAGAGAAATCGAGAACACACTGTCAGATACTTTTATGGCCATTTGACCGACGTGATTTTATGTCTGATGAATCTTGGGATTTAAAAAGGGTTTCACTTTTTGAACATTTTTATTACATTTGGCAAACACATCGGTTGGTGATGGATTGATTATTGAAAGAAGGTACCACATGACCTGGGCAGCTGAGCCATGGCTGCCTCTGTGCTTCAGGCCACCCCTGGACTCCTGATACCTCCTTCCATGTCCCTCCACTGCCACCCCAGGTCAGGCATAGGCTCCTCCTGGTAGGGCAGGGAGGACATGGGGAATTAGGGAACGCATCACTTCAACAAGATCGCCCAGGCTCACGAAGAAAAGCCTTCCTCCCCACACTAAAGATTGGAGAGATTTTTTTTTTTCTGAGCATCTTTGTGATCTCCCGAGCAGGACAAGGTCTCAGGCCACTTTCCCACGTGGTGAGAGAACTGTCCATCTCAGGAGGTCGCCTTTGCATTCACTAACCTAAACAAATGCTCCCTGTCCACGTGATTTCATCCCGAGCTTACCAAGTTTCACACGGAAGTAAGGGTTTCTCTGTTCCTTGGGTAATTTCCAGTCACCCCAAAAATGCTGGAGAAGGAAGAACACCTTGGCAGTCTGCCTGTAGAGATCCTCAGACCTTCCCCCACCTGGGCTTTCACTGTCCCTGAAATCTCTCAGGATGTCACCTGCAGCCCAGACACAAATTAACAGTCATAACATCAGACTTTGGGTCATGCATTTGATAAATAGTGATCTTACCCATCGCGGCAATCGACCCCTGCCCATACCTGGTCTCCACGTGAATAGGCTCCTCCCTGGCCCCCAGAATGGCCATCTGCATTGGCAAGAAGTTCTGACTGGTGGAATTCCTACCGTAAAGCTCTGCCTGCCGTATCTCGTATTTCCCTGATCTTGTTTCTCATGTCTCTGTTTTTTAATGAAAGGCTTTCAAATCTTTGAAGATAGTTACCATATTCTTTATCTGAGAATTCTTGTAGACGTTTACCATCTTGTGCCTGCTCCCAGAGATCGTGATTGACCTGTTTTGATTTGTATGAAGTTCGTCGTAATAAGCCTGCTTGATTATTGACATCTTTGGGTAATCTGATTTGGGTAGGGGGGCAGGAGGCACATAATCAGGGAACCAGAGACCAGCGGCAGCAAACTTAGAGGGTGTGTGGTTATCCAAAGGCAGGGACGCTGAGCTGCAGGCAGCCCCCCGTCATGATCCAGTGCGTGGGTTCTGGAATCCACAGCAGGATTTGGATGTCAGACACACCGCCTATTAGCTGTGTGATCCAAAGCATGTCACCTGACCTCTTCAGCCTTTCATTCCTCATCTGTAGGACGAGGACAATGATAATACCACCAACCTCATTAGGGTTCTTTGTGAGGTTTGAAGATTTAATCCGTCCTCATCAGTCGGGTCATTGCGTGGCACATGGTAAATGTCCAATAAATGGCAGTAAGCATAGCACGTAAAATGACAAGTAAGTATAGCACATAAAATATCTGTCCTCAGCACCCCTAAAAGGCACATTGCAAGTGGGTTTGAGCCGATCTCGTTGGGGATTTTGTTGGTGCCTGTTTCCCCACATTTAGATGGTCTTCATTATCCTCCTGTTGGTGATTCATGACTTTTTGGAAGGTGAGGCTTTATTTCAGTTATGCCATTCTCTCTTTATTTTTGATAGCTGCAGTGATCTCTCCAGTTGGCATTCCTCCTGGAGCTCAGACCCTAAATTCTGATGAGCCACTCGTTTTCTCTCTGATGTTAATTCGTTTAGTCAGTGCTTTGTGCCCTCGCTTCCTGTGAGTGAGATCTGGACCCTGTTTGACCCTGAAGGAATTCCAAGAGGATTCTCAGGGGACTGCATGTGAAAGAAGCCCTTTGCAGTCCAAGGTGGCTTCCTTTCTAGGTGCTCACAACATAAGCCTGGGGTCACCCTGGACCCCTGTCTTTTCCTCATACCCCAGATCTGATCGTCAGCAACTCTCATTTGGTCTCCCGTGGGAAGAGGTCTGCATCAGCCACTCCCCCTCCGCTGGCTGCCCCCAGCCTCAGCGGTCATCATGCCCATCTAGCTTGCTACGTTCCCTCTTGCCTCCTGTCCTGCCCCTCAAGTCCATCCCCAGCACAGCCATCTATAGGAGACCACTGATGGAAACCGAATACCATAATAAAGTCCCTCAGCCTGGTGGCCTCAGCACCGGGGATCTGTTGTCTCACAGTGCTGGCAGCTGGAAGTCCAAAATCAAGGTGTCCCAGGGTTGGTTTCCTCTGAGGCCTGTCTCCTGGGCTCGCCGGTGGCCATCTCCTTGCTGGGTCCTCACATGGTCCTCCTCTGTGTGTCCTTCCTCCTCTCTTGTTATGAAGACGCCAGTCCTATTGGATTAGGGCCCACCCCAACCGTCCCATTGTAAGCTCATGACCCCTGGAAAGAACCTGCTTCCAGAATCAGTCACATTCTGCCGTGCTCGGGGTGAGGACGTCCACGTTCGAGCTCGTTGGGGGTCCACTCTTCAACTCAAAGCCCTCCCGTGGCCCTCCGTCCACTGAGGGTAAGCACTGTCACCATGGCCTTGGCCTGGTCTTCTCCTCACTCTGTCTGTTGCTCTCTTCGTGGTCACCCCTGTCTCACCCCCTCGGCCTTCTCGCCATCTGCACACCCTTGGACGTACCCTCAGTCCATCATGGCGCCTGTCCTGGAGGAAGTACTCCAAAAACACTGATGTGCTTCCGATTCCCCGGTGGGACCTTTCCTGATTGGTCCTATTGGTTTTCACCAATATGAGGAACAGGGTGAACACTTGCTCCTTCGTTCAGTTCTCTTGGAGCAAATCTACCATCAAGGATAAAATCAGAGGGAAAGATCATCTCTGGCTCCTCCAGCAGATGGGTGAGGTGTAGGGACTCATGATTGATACTCTGGCTGTATGCACCGTCCTTGAACTTAAAACTGAAAGAAAATCATGCAGAAAAGGAGATACATCCTAGACAGATGAGAGGACGGCGTTGACCTGGGCATCAGGGGTGTTCACATGGAGAAAATCCTTGAAATCTGTGAGGAAAACAATTAATGAGTTTTTCTTACCATTATCATTCATATATTTCAATAGTCAATTGATATTCTGAGTGATACTTTCTTTTCACCCAGTGAATTTTAGTGTAAGAAATTTTAATTAGGAGACATTGAGGTCTACTAGAATAAATTTGCTACCAGTGGCCCTTAGAAATAAACAAAGTAGTACGTGGCTAATAAATCCATCCTTCATCTATCTTCTGCTACCCATTAGCAGATCAGGAAAGTTCTGCCATCTACTAGGAAAAAAATCTCACTCAAATAGAAATAATCTCTGCCAAGAATAAGGAAGGTACCGGTTTACCAAGGGTTTTAGTTCATTTCATGCTGCTATGACAGAGTACAGCAGGTTGGGTAACTTACAAAGAAAAAATAATATTTCTCACGGTTCTGGAGGCAAGAAAGTCCCAGGGGCCAGCAGCTGGTAAGAGCCTCGACACACCATCCCATGGTGGAAGGTGAGAGGGTGAGAGAGGTCGAGGGATGAGGCCCAACTTGCTTTTGTGCTAACCCACTCATGGGATAAGAACCTTCTCATGAGGGCAGAGCGCTCACGGCCTCT